TGGAATATGAAATGAATTTTCTTGGAAGCTTAGACATTTTGAAGTGAATTTTCCACATTCATTGATCACCAACTTTTTTAACATCGGCCATTCACAAGAATGTATTCCAGGATAGAAAGCTTTAAGTTTTGGTAAATTCTCAAGCTTCAAATTGGTAATTTGCCGAAAGGCAAAATTAATAGAAGCTTCTGCTCCTTCTTCTTCCGCAACAATCTCCTCTAAAACCTTACAATCCTTTATCTCAAGGTATTGTAGAGCTTCGAGCCTTTTGGCAATGGAAGATGGAAACACATATTTTATTTTTCCACATCTCTCCAAGATAAAGCGTGTCAACTCCTTATAGCAGGAAGACGTAACTATTGGAAATTTGCTATCCCAAATCTTTCCACAACTAATATTCTTCAATTCCAAGGCCATCAAATCGGTGAAAATAACCTACAATCAAAGTACTTATTGTTTCAATATTTACGAACTCATATGAGATAAATTTAAAAAAGAAATAATTGATTCCTATGGATTTATAGATGACATGCCATTAATATTTACAATTTTTTTTTTTTTTTTTTTTTGTCTCTAATAAATTTCATCATGGAATAAAGCATGAAATAATGAAACCAATTCTACAGAAATTACGCAGTATCGAGATTGAATGAGAAGTATTTACTAGTGAAATTTAAATGAATATGTAAATTACCATAAAAAAGCGCAAAAAAGAGAAGAAACAAATCAATACGATAACTGTGTTAACAAATGAGAAAAGGCATAAGAGAAGAAAATGAGAATATATATAATAGACAAGTACAAGAGGTTATAGTCAATTAAACCTTTTCATTAAGAAGTGGTGTGAGAGCGACAAAATCATTAAAACAATTCTCAACATCTGAAAAAGCGACTATGCGTAAGAGTTCAACATTCCTGATTCCTCGTAACTCTTCTAAGGAGATGGTAGAATTAAGTTTCAATTCGAACATCCTCAAACCCTCATCTTCGTTACCTCTTATATAACGGTTGAACCAATCTCCTATTGATATTTTGTACCTTTCAAGCTCTTTTGAAAAAAAGTCTTTAGGCAACATCTTGTTATCTTTAATATCTAATTCTAAACTGGCCAATTGAGACAAGAGCTTCAATTCTTCAAGTACTTCAACCTTCCACTCAATAGGGCATCCCTTCACATGGAATTCTTCCAATTGCAATAAGTTTGATATCACATTTGGCGCAATAATTTTCAAACTACAACAATTGCTTAAATCGAACAACTTTAGTTGAGTCAATTGACCCAATTCTGTTGGCAATTCGTTAATAGATGAATTTTGCAAGCTAAGAACTTTTAGTTTCTTTAGCTTCCAATAATAGCAACATCTTCAATTTCGCTATCATTTAAACACAAAGTTTGAAGGTTTGTCAGAAGATCAAGTGACGACGGCAACATTGATTGTTGCATTCCATATAAACTTAAAACTTTGAGCTTTGGCATCACCGTGAAAAAATCCTCTGGGATTTCGAAAGAAGAACCCCATGTAGTGGCCATAGAGAAATATTCAAGATTTGGACAATCCAGATCATTAGGCCATAACTCACTAATAATTGTACTACTATCAGTTAAGGAGATTTTAGTGCATTTCTTGAGCTTATCTTTATCCTTCCATTCCCTTTCAACATCATTTCTCCCTGTAAATACATGGTGGTCTGTATATGAAATTGTAACAGCAACAGCACGGACAACATCATGCATAGCAAATTCTTCGCTTGTGGAACCTTCAGTTAACAAACAAGAGTCTTTCAAGTCGCGAACCAATGTATCTAATCTATCCCTTGCTTCTTCCATTTTCAAGTTAGCTCTTTCAAGTATATCCAATCCCACAACATGTATGAAAAAGTCTGAAATGGAAGTATCATTTTCCATTAGACTAGAAATTAAAAAAGTTTTCTTCAGCTCATCATCTCTTAAATATTCGTAACTTAAGGCGATCTTCATGTATGGGTTTTCCAGTAATCCCGTGAACTTTGCCGGTGAAGGCGCTTTTAAGTCTCGCAAGGCAACTTTCCAATCAGATGGACGACGCTTGCTCTTTAATGTTTTGCTATAGTACAAATGACAATAGGCAAGCCTCCACATTCATTACATACATCTTGTGGCAAAGAATTCAATTCACAGGTTGGAATTTCACCACCTACACAGGAAGCTAGGATTATGCTAATTGCATTATCTCTTTACATGCTTTGGATTTAAAAACAAGAAAGGTTCCAAGTGTTGTTATTTTCCCTCTAGCTATCTTATTTGACTCTTTTCTAAATAAAACCATAAAAAAATATTTGAAAATAAAAATAAACTGCACTTAATTCCAAATGGTACTCCGTTCCACTCTTCATCTCTAAAATTGTCTTATCAAGAGCACTATAACACTATAATTAACTAATGATATCTATTAAAACTAATTCAAATATAAATAATTAGTCTAAAACATATATCTTAATGAATATACTTTAAATTTCATCTTCATCATTTTAAAAAGAACTGTTACAAATTTCAAAATAGAAGATTGAAGATGTAGAAATCGGAATAGAAATTAAGAGGATCTAAGGTGAGACAACATCTTAAAAGCAAAACAGTGCCATTTATTAGTACATGAAATTTGCATTTTCAAGTTTAAAAATTTACATTATTAAATTTACATTATGTACACTATTATATGGTTGTGTAATTATATAGATAAAAAAATACGGTTATTAGATTTAAAAAAATAAAAAAGTAGATTAAATATAAATAAGTTGCACCTAAAAGATAAAACAAGATTTAATATTTGAAACTACCTTTCTAACCCTTTATATTTTATATAAAAGGGACAATTAAGTTTTTCCCTTTTGTGCAACGTTTTTAAGGGCAAATACGGGATTCCATTGCTATATCATTGTTAGGTGTCAAAAGTTATAATAACTAATTAACGTCAGTGTCTTTTTTGTTATTTAGAATATTACAAGGGGATTTTTATAATTTGCTTCAATCTTGGAGGATGACTAAAACCCAAAAATTAAATTATTACAAAATAAAATATTAGAAAAATTAAAAAGATCCCGTACCCCACTTTCCTCGGCCGAACCCCACTTAGCAGCCCAAATCGTGGGCAAGCCGCAACCAAATCCCCACCCCAAAGAGTGTAGGTGATTTGTATGATAACTTTTTTATTTTTCTTTCACCTTTTTTTCCTCAAATTTCTTAAAGAAAAATATATGATTTTGGTAGGATGATTAGAAATTTGCTGATTATAATTATATGGTTATAACTGTTAATGGTGGTGATTGGTTTGAAAAGTGGTAGCAGTTATGTCGTATGTTCTGAAGGTGGTTGTGATTTTTAAAGAGATGGTAGTGAAGAGGCAGTGGTGATGTTTTGGGTATTGACTTTTTTCTAAACAAGAAAATTTCTAAATGTTGTTATTTTCCCTCTAGCAATCTTCTTAGACTTTTTTCTAAACAGACCATAAAAAATATTTGAAAATAAAAATAAACTGCACTAAATTCCAAATAAAATTCTTTTCCACTCTTCATCTCTAAAATCATAGAAATACATTTGTCTTATCAAGAACTTTAAGACCATATTTATAGAAAAGAAAAATAAATGATGAGAAATGGGGAAATGTAAAATAAAGCTGCCAAGTCAATTCTCATTACTGTGAATTTAGGCTGAAAATAATAAAACTAATTCAAATATTAATGAATATACTTTAAATTTAAGTCAGAAAGTAATGTTTAGGTCCATAAATTATTCCCTGTTGACGGACAGCCATTATAAAACCCTGAAAAACTCGAGTGAAGGGCAGAGAAGTATTTACATAGTGTATTAATTAAGATAAATAAAACCCTAGAAATCTTATTCCTAACCCATTCACTCTTTCTTATCGCCACACCACCACCCCTATTCCCATTAAACCCATCTTCTTCCTCAGAAAACTCAGCGACACCTTGGGTGGTTTTTTTATGCATCAATTTTGGCTAGGGAGGTTGTTTTAAACCTGGGTGGTGGTGTTGTTGATCTTGTGAAGTTGATTTGATTGGTGATCTGGATTTGTTGTGGCTGATGTGGTGGTGGTGGTTTAAAGGGTGGTGTTCTGCAGTGTGGCTGCAATGGGGATGTGTTGTGGTGTGGGTGCAATGGAGATATGCTGTGGTGTGCGTGTAATGGAAGTGTCCTGCAGTTTACGTGTTGTGGTGGTGCGCTGGAGGCCAATGGGTGCGGCAACGATCGTCGTCTGATTTTCTATGCTTCTTGTGGTGGTGGTCTAAAGGGTGGGCTGTGGTGTGGGTGCAATGGCGATGGTTGTGTTATGGATGCAATGGCGATGGCTCTGGTGTGGATGCAATGGAGGAGATGGCAATAATTTGGAGTTGCGGTGGTGGTGCACGGGAGGCTATGGGTGTGACGGAGGTTGTCAGTGGCTACCGATAGGGGTGGGGCACAATGTGGGTGAGGTTTGTAACTACTAGGTTTTAGGAAGAGTGGAGGTTACGAAATAAAAAATGAGAGAAAAAAAAGAGTTAATTGAATTATTTTTCAAAAGAATCGGATTAAAAAAATGAATAAAAAGAGAGAGAAAAAAATAATAGGTTACGAATTTAAAAGAAAAAAATTACGGTTATAAAATTACTTTAAAAAAAATCAGATTAAAAAATTTGAATAAAAAGAAAAAAAAATATGGTTATTAGATTGTAAAAAATAAAAACAAACAGATTAAAATATAAATGAGTTACAAACCCCCCATCAGCTCCAACCTCTACGCAACCAAATCCCTACCCAAAGAGTGTAGGTGATTTGTATGATAACCATAGAAATTTATTTTTCAGAATATTTAATTAGAGAATAAATAAAACTTATGTCAGAAAAATTAAATTAAATTAGATTTCTTGTTTTTAACGTGATGTTACGGAGATCAGTTAATTTTGTCCCTAAGCTGGCACTACTATTCTATCAATGGAGTAATTATATAGATTTTGAAGATATTTCATGTTATTACTACTTTTAACTTTTTATTTATTCACATCAAACCATAACACAAATTATAATGAGTTATAATAACAATTACCTGACATTTTCTTGAATAGACTCCAAGCTTCTTTTTCATTTAAAATGCCCATCCCGAAATTATTTGTGGAACCCATCTTCTCCAACGCATTTACATTTCTTGTTGTCATCAATATTTTACTTCTTCCACGATCAGTTCAGGAAGGAATTCCAACTGTCTTCAACTCTAAATCTTTCCAAATATTATCTAAAATTAGAAGGATATTCTTCTTCATCATTCTAGAATATAACTTACTTGCTCTTTCACTCTCATCTTCCTTTTCATCTTCGAATCTAAGACCTAGCTTCTTTGCAATTGCTGTTTGAATCTTTGTTGTATCAGGAGTTTCTGTTACCTGCAAGACAAAGAACCACAAAATATAATAAGAAAAAAAAAATCTTAAATGAATAACTATGCCTTTAAAAAAATAGATATTCATCTATTAAAAAAATAATCTAACAACAAAGTAAACCTTAAGAGATAAACTGAATTAAGATATATAAAATTATAAATAAAATAACAAAAACAAGGATTTCTTCATAAACAACGAAGAAAAAATATTCGGTTGAATACTTTTTTCTCGTAAATTATAAACATCCTTATATAGAAGAGTAAAATCTAATTAATTTCACTTAAATAAAATTACTGATATAAATTTAAATACTAATAATTATCACTCAAAATAAATATGCTAATTAAAAGTGAAACCCCTTGGTTTAAACATTACCTCAACAAAAACAATCTCATTAAAGAGCTTATTATTCTCAGCATTCCTACCAATTTCCTGCACAAGAGTGGTCTTGCCCAGACCACCCATCCCATAAACACCGATCATGTAGATATTCTCATCTTTTAATGCCTCCCATACATTCTTCTCAGCGGAGTTTCTTGATTCGAAAACCAAATAATCTTCATCAGATCTAAGCCATATCTCCTTGTGAATAGTAGGATGGGAAACTTTTTCGAATCTTTCTTCTTGCTGCAGGAGTGGACCAATATCATCCACCATTAATTCGGATGCTGCCTTGCTATATTGGTAGCGCGTCTGCCAGTCAGTGCCAATTGAACTTTGGTTTTCAATCAACTCCCCTGCTTTAATAATGATAGAGTCAACTTCCTCTAGCCACTTCTTCACATCCTCTTCAATCTCTTCCACATTTTTTTCAGCCACCTCAACCTTACGCTGCACTTTGAGTCTTGCATTCTTCAGCTTCGAAACATCATCTCGGAGCTTGTCAAAGTTCTTCTCTAGTGGAATAGTAGGATAGGAAACTCTGTCGAATTTCTCTTCTTGCTGCAGGAGTGGACCAATATCATCCACCATTAATTCGGATGCTGCCTTGCTATTTTGGTAGCGCGTCTGCCAGTCAGTGCCAATCGAACTTTGGTTTTCAATCAACTCCTCTGCTTTAACAATGACAGAGTCAACATCCTCTAGCCACTTCTTCACATCCTCTTCAATCTCTTCCCCATTGATTTTAGCCTCCTCAACCTTATGCTGCACTTTGCGTCTTGCATTCTTCAGCTTCAAAACATCATCTCGGAATTTGACAAAGTTCTTCTCGTACTTGGATTGTTGTATACACCAATCGAAAACTTCACCGAATCTTTCCTCTTGCAGCAGGAGTGGACCAATATAATCCCGCTTTAATTTGAATGCCTTCTTGCTATGTTTGTAGCGGTTGATACAGTTGGGGCGCAATCCCTTGAAACATCGAGCGTTTTCTTCTTTCTCTTCAATCAACCTCTCTGCTTCCGTAATGGTATTGTTCACCTTAGTCTGCCACTCCTTAACTCTCTGTTTGATCTCTTCCCCGTTCAGTTCAGCAACCTCAACCTTAACCTGCACTTCGTCTCTTGTATTCTTCAGGTTCTTAACTTCATCTTGGAGATTGTCAATGTTCTTCTTGTAGTTGTACAGGTACATAAATGGACGCCCAATCGGAGCAGCCAAGCACTTGACAACATCGAGAACAAAACTCGCGATTTCGACCATTTTCAAAACTTTCTACTTTCTCCTTCACTTGTATTTTTTTTTAAGATTGAAAAAAATAAGAGAAAGAAAGTAAAACAGAGTTAAAAACAGGACAACTAGGGCGCAAACTTTCAAATTTGAAAAATACAAGAGGAATTTTGGATAAAAAGAAATAAGAGATGAATTTTTTTTTTTTTTTAAACAAGATATAAGCGAATGGAAACTCAAATACTGATACAAATTTTTTTTTTTTTTTTTTTTTTTTAAGAAGTAATAAGAAAAAGGGATTTTTTTTTTCTTTAAAAGAGAAGTAAAGGAACAAGAGAGAAGTGAAAATCAAGCGATCTGACTTCAGAGTAAAAACTTTTGTAGTGGCATCTGAAGGGGGGAGAGAGGTTTCTGAGTGAGAATATGTTTTCGTGATTTATGAAAGACTGAGAGTGAGAGAGAAGAGGAAGAACAACAATTGATTCTAACTTTACCGTGGATGACTGATGACTCTGGAGACCCACCACTTGGGCTAGCTGACTTTGAATATCGATCTTGTGCTTCATAATTAATTATTTTATTATTGTTTGTGGTGGAAAAAGAAGATTAAAGTAGCTACAGTTACCATTCACTTTTTTAAGTGCTCTTGCAAAAGCTAAACTTTATAATTAATTAATTATTAATTATACATCTGTTTCTGCTTATTATAAACTTTCAAGCATGAGCTGGTTTCCATTAGTGATTGATGTAATTATTATTCTTTATGTTGGAGAATGAAGATTAAAGTGGTAATTACCTTCAAAACGCTAAAGTTTATGGCACAAATTGATAAATGATTTCATTAATTATTCAACCATCCCAGGTTAGCAATCCGTGTCACATTATGAATCGCCAATCAGAAATGACTTCAAGAAACACAAATGACTAACAAACTGGCCGTTGATCAAGAGCCCCAGATTGATGAACGAACAATTTTTGCTAAAGAAAGCAACCCTCTCAGCTTGATCTGAAATTGTTCAGAAAGTTTCTTCTCTGAATTGAAGTATAATAAAACGATGCTGTTTTACTTAAGTGACTAACTGAAACTTAATAGAAGCTTAATAGTATAATATTTCAGTTTTCCCAGTCGTAGTCAGCCTTCATACACATGATAACACATCGTGTGAAATCCCGATGCACATTCCAATAGTTAATGAGATCCTTAAACTTTAGTGATAAAGAAGTATGCATGTTCTCAACAATACCTAAGAGAAACACTACTTACATACCCTAAAGGGTTTCACTACCAGTTCACATCAAAGAACCAAACCCAGCAAGTTTATAGATGAGTCCCTGCCTGAACACCTCTCCTCTGCTGGACTCATAACTCACTAAAAATCATCAAATGTATAGACTTATCGGATACATGCTTAAAATTCTACGGTTAATAATTTCAGTAATACCACCAGCTACATTATCTAATTATTAGAACTTATAATATACATGCAAAAGCGATCTGGTTTGAGAGTAAAAGTATTTTTGGTGGGAATCTGAAGGGGTGAGCCCGTGAGTGAGAGAAGTTTCTGAGTGAGAAGTATTTTTGAGTGGTTTCTAAAAGATTAAGAGAGAAGAAAACTGAAGTTGAAGAGATGGATGGGAGGAGAAATCAGAAATACAGTGAATGTAATACTCCGTATTTTCTTTGTGGGTTTTACTTAATTTTATTTATGTGAATCTAGGGGGTAATATGTAAGAATTGAAACTTTTTAGAGATGTTTTAGTAAGAAATAAGGCATGGTGGGTTATTAGGTAGTTTTGCAAGAGTACTTGTGCGAAATTGGAAGTGTGAAAATCTTTTAACAACTTTATGAAATTGATTAAGATGAGGGGTCCTTTTAATATTGTGTCATGCAATGGTATCATGCATAATTCTCCAGGGTGAATCATGATAAAACTTACTTTATTTAAAGGATTTTGGGGTGCAAGATGTAAGAATCAAAGACTAAGGGATGCATGCATAATGGGCCATTGCAAGATGGTTAAAGGCAATTTCTTTAGGAGAATTAGCCCACGGTTTTGCACATTGTTTTGCCATTGATGTGTGAAATTTTATTAATTTTGAGATGAGGAATGGTGGAGTGGAGAAAAGATGGCCGAGAGAAACAAAAAGATAAAGTGTGAGAGAAGCTTGTTTATTCTTGTCTTTCACATTTACATTCTTCTCCTACGCACATTGAAAAAGAGAAAAAATAACATTGAGTTGAATAAGGAGAACCGAGTGTGCTTGTAGGAGAAGAGTTTTCAGAGAAATTTTGGGTGAAGAGATAGGAGGACCAAGCACTTGAGTTAAAAGCAAAGGAGAAAGTGTGAGTGGAATAGTATTGCATAAAGAATTCATGCATCTAAATTTCATCTCCGTTTGGATTCATTTTGTTCATATGGGTGCTGACCTTGCTGAATGTTTCTTTTAATTAACGAATGGTTTAATTATGTGCTAGAGTGGAAGTGGAAGAGAAGATTATATTAAGAGGTGTTAAGATTGGGCCAGTGAATTTCATTAATAGGAATGGTTATAAAATTGTGTTTATGTAATTTTTTTAATCTTTCCTTTGGATTATACGGAAATGCATGCTATGGTTGGTTGATTTGATTGGCTATTGGGCTCATTTATTTTGTTTACAATTGGAGTATTTTTATGTGTTTGAAAACAAATGGTGTAGATGAATTGGAAGGTTGGGTTAGTTATAAAATTGACTTTGATTAGAACATGATATGGTGGATACTAATGAATTTTGAATTTTATATTTGGATGTTCTGTTAAACTTTGTGATGATGGATGGCTGGAAAATTTGGGAAATAATGGGCATGAAACTGTTGGCATATTGTACAGAGTGGACGTTTACTTTGCCAAAAGGTTAGAGATTGGCTGAATTTTTTGGAGGCAATGGGTATGAAATCATGAGCTGGAGGGTTATTTAAAGGTGTGTGATATATATATATATATATATATATATATATTTATATATAATATAATATATATATATATATATATTTGTTGCATTGTTGGCTTGATATTGTTGGAGCCATCAGTGTAGTAATTGGTGCATTTTCATAAACTGCAGACTTGACTTAAACGTGATTGTTGATGGGAATGAGTGCTTGAGTTGGTAAAAAAAAGTAGAATTGATATTAAGGTAGAATGGTATGAAGTTATGAGATACTAATAGTACAAATGGTCCATTTTTATTTTGAATTGCGGAAAGAGTGTTAATAAAATGTGAGATTTTTCTTATGGGCACTAGGCTCTTGGCAGCAGGGGGTTATGTCATGTTTAAAGTTTTGGGACCTTGAATATTGATGATAAATATAGGGTGTAAATAGAATTTTACATACTTTTGTATTTTTACGTGGAGCATTGTATTCATGATTACATGCCTTTTATTGGATTTATATCATATAATTTTATATATGCATAAGGCATGCATGCATATTTGGATGAAATTGTGTGCATGATTATTATTATGTTTACTCCCGATTGGAAACCGAACCCATCTCCCCCTCCAGACATAAGCTAGTATTTGACATTATCCTCAGGCGCGCATTGAGATGGTCCGTCCTATCGAACCATTGGTATATCCTACTAAAACAGAACGGACGCCTGACGAGCTCCAGCGGGATTACACCAGCGGTTATTGGCCGTTGTGGGATTTTAGACGCCCCGAGGGTAGACTGTGGGCGATATATTTGATACCATATCATGACACCCCGAGGGTAACTGTGGGTTGACATGGTTTCCAATGATGTTCGTACCATCCCAGGGTAGACTGCGGATGGTGCCACCCCGAGGGTAGACTGTGGGTGGTGTAGCTTCATGTCTGAGTTAGGGACTGGTTCATAGTTATAAGCTTGGCCCCTAAGGGCTAGTAGGGTGGTGATAATTGATTTATTTTATATGATATGGTGTGTGATTTCATGGCACCGAGAATAATATATATATAATATATATTTTTGTTTGCCTTATCATGTAAGTACACTAGTGTTGTGTGACATACAATTATTCCTACTGTTTTCAAAGTTAAAGTTATTTTCGTATAAATCCTATTATCCACTCACTGGGTTTCCAGCTCACTGTTTTATGTTTCCTCCCCCAGACCGTAGATCGGGTTCGTGTGGAGCATACTCCGATCTAGGTTGGCCTTGACGGATGATGATTTGCACTTTTACAAACTTTAGTGGACTCTGATACTACGTTTCTTTTGTAACTAGATTTCAGTTCCTGTTTTAGAATAATTATTGTGTATTTCCACCTTCTAACCTTAACCATGCAAATGCACTACTTTTCACTTTCGCCTATAAACGGAATGTGTTTTATGATGTTTTTTTTTAAAGAGTATTCACCTTCCTTTCGGATCTTGAGTCTCCTGGAGCGCCGGATCCGGTGGGATAGGGATACTCGGAGGGGGGCGTGACAGTGACACAATCATTGATCTTAACTTACTGTCAATAATTGATGACGATGGAGACCCACCACGTAGGCATTTAGGCTGGCTGACTGCTTTCCAGCTGGTGAGCTACGAGGTCAGACTTTGACAAGACGTTTGCAGACAAACCAAAATGGGAAGGAAGGAAGTACTGTTACATGAGAGAAGACCTTGTATTAACAAAAAAAAAAAAAAAACAACTTTTTAGAGTCAGGAAAAGTTTATTATCAACCATTAATTAAAAATAAATGGTTAGAATTTAAATTATTATAAATTAATAAATATTTATTAAATTATATTTTAAATATATAAAAGAAATTTTTTTATTTTATAAATCTCAAAAAAAAGTTTATTATTTAATGAAACTTTATGAGATTAATGTTATTAACTGTAAAAGAAATATAAATATTGAATTAGCTTAGACTGGGAGTACTGAATAAATGTTCAATTTTGAAATTTATGTGCAAAGGAGATAAAAAAATGCATCCCAAGAATATCATCAGATTGTTGATGCAGTAACCAACCTTGGATTTGTTCTGAAAATAATAAGTATAATCACGTGTCATGTACTTTAAGAAAAAAAGAAAAAGAGACTTTTCTATGATTTTTAATTATTTTTCATCAAATAAATGAAATGAATATATATAATGGTCTCAAATTTAAGTGGACATGAATGAAAGTTTACGTATTTTATTTAACACCTTTCAATAAAATTTGTACATCTTCTTTTTTTTTTTTTTT